GGAGGCTGGGGCTGCGGCGCCGGCTGCCTTGGCTGTGGTGCCCGGGCCGGGTTCCCCCACTGCCGGGGGTCCTGCTTCATCCAGCGTCCCTGGATGCCCCAGCGCGCCAGGTACACCTTGCAGATGTCGTAGTTCATGGCCGAGTAGTACAGGAGGTCCAGGACCAGCAGTATGAGCACGAAGAAGCCGTAGATCCACACTCCCAGCAGGGCAGTGTAGTTGCTGAGGACAGAGGACAGAGGCTGAGCCGGGAAACTGACACTTCCTCCCCCGTGGGGTCAGCCTGCAGCCTGGGGATCACTCCCCACTGCCCACCCCCCTACCACTTTCCCTGGAAGTCACCACCCTGGTGCATAGCCGCCTCTGTCCCTCACCCAAGGGCGCAGGGTCCCTGAGGTCCTCCTGCACTTTGCTGCCGTTGTGGGGAATCCAAAATCTCCAAGCTGGGTATTCGGGGCTCCCCCCACCTTGGGGTACCTTCCCACTTGCGTCTGCCGTGGCTCCCCTGCCTGCACCCTGTGGCCCCGCCCCCGCCAACGCACTTTGGTCTGGGACCTGGGGCAGGTCCTGGAGGGTGCCATGTGCAGGAACCCAGGTGGTGTTTTCCCTCCTGCAGATCCCCTTCCAGGGCTCCCGAATCCCACAATTCTGCTCCCAGGAGCCCAGGACCGAGGGCCCCGGCTCAGCACCCCGTCTTTATTCACCAGCCTCCTGCCTGCCCTCTGTCCCCATTCCAGGGTCTGTTTCCATGGGACTGCACGGTGGGCGTCCCGAGCCCCCTCTGCCATTTCTCTGATCTATTCACCCCACATCTCCCCACAGGACACAGCCCTCAAGGCTCTAGGCTGCAGACTCCCTGGCTGTGCAGCCGGCCCTGAGGAGCCTCCCTGCACCCCAGGCCCTCCTTGTGCTTGTGCCTCCTCCTCCTCCTTCCCTGCCTCTGCCCTGTCAGAGCCCTGGTCTCCTGATGCCCTGCCCCTCCACGGGCCCAGCAGTCCTCGTGTCCCCACCCCATGCTGAGCCCCAGGCTGGCTGCACCCGCCAGGGCCACTGGACTCTGATAGATGGGGCTGCCGCGGGACTGAGGCTTCGCAGAGTGTGGCTTATGAACCACTCCGACGTGGCCTGTTCCCGTGGGCGTTCGAGAGGCAGAACCCTGATCAGCAGGGATCCCATCGGAGGTTCAGGATGCATACTCCTCTGCTGTGCAGGCTGTGAGACCCAAGGATGTCTCTGGGCCCGAGGAGAAGCCTCGAGGCTCAGTGGGGCTACACCTCCAGGTTCCCTCTAGGGTTGGACACGGCCGTCCCTGCCCTGCTAAAGACCTGTACCCCAAACTTGGCCAAGACCTTAGACTAAGCGTGGGGACCTTCGAGGAGAGGCTTTCCAGCTCTGAGCACTTAGATTGGGTGGCCTGAGGGCAGGTGCTCAGGCTTAGTACCTAATTCCATCCTTGCTCCCTCTGATGGCCCCATCTCCCAGCCACCACGGCCACGAAACCTGCAACAGTCATACAGACTTGTTCGTGCTAAAGTGCGAATGGCTGACAGGCCTCCAGCTGCCTTATTTTAAGGGGACACTAGCTCTCTCTGCCTTTAGCCCTTGGGTCAGAACTCCTGCCAGGGAGAGGAGGACAGGAGCCCGACTCAGTGAGCTGAGCAGGAGCTGGGGAGAGGGGGCCACCCCGAAGTTGGAGGACTTGGGCTGGCTTTGTGTCTTCTCGGCCCCAGGCTCCCCAGCACCCTCTTTCCGGTGCTCCCTGCAGGGGCTGTGAGCGCTGCAGGGCTTTTCCTCTGGTTCCCATGGCAGCAGCTCTGGTGGGCCAAACAAGGGAGGGGAGGTGGGCAGCTATGTGCAGATGCGGCCCAGTAGGAGGGAGCCCACCAGCAACAGTCGCAGTGCTCACCCTGAAACTGCACCGTGCGGTTGCCCAGTGCCTGGGAGGCAATCGTCCCTAGATCACTGTGCCAGGTGACACCCTGGGGGCCACCTCCATGGGTCCTGGGTGGTGACCAGTCATACAGCTGTTGTGTTCCCAATCCCAGGCCTCTGCCCAAGGTGCTCCTTGGCCAGGAAGCCTCCCTCTCCTGGCTGTCGCCTCTTCCGGGGTGCCCAGGGTAGGTCCAGTCTAGCCCTGGGGCTCCCCAATCTGCTGGGTTTCTCAAAACACACTGCAGGCTTTGCGCCCTGCCAAACCGTCTGCCCTTGAGGTGGGGCGGAACTTGGCCTGGGCACCCAGCACCAAGCCTCGGCGATGCTACCCATGCTGGCCCAGAGTGAGGGCTTGTGGGGAGCCCAGTGCAGCTCATGTTCTCTGTGTGCATCACGAACAGCTGAGCCTGCGGCTTCTGATCCCGCCGCCGTGCCTGACTCAGAGGCTGTGGCCCCAGTTTATGGACAGGAAATGAGAACCGGAGACTACCGAGTTGGCAACGCCAGGGCTGGGACCTGGACCCAGACTCCTGGGAATCTCAGGGAAATTTCAAGGTCAGACTGAGGGCAGATGAAAGCCAAGGACGGTGGTGTCTGTCTGTGATCCCAGCACTCTGGGGAGGCCAAGACAGGAGGGTCACAAGCACACGGCAAGTCCCTGTCTCAAAAAAACTAAAAGCCGACCAAACCTAGGACAGAGGTCCAGAGAGGGGGTCCCCGCCGCTGCCTGGCAGAACCCCCCAGCCTGCTCACCCCCATCAGGAGCTGAGGCACAGGGCAGCTGTGCTCAACACTGGTGCGCACACGTGCATTCTGCCAGGCCTGGTGGGCCCCGGACATCCTGCCCCGAAGGACCCTGTGCCACCACCCTCGGCTAGGAGACACAGACCTTTCTGAATCTCTACAGTTTAGCTACAAACACGTGACTGGGGGCCGAACTCGGTTCGATGCCGGTCTGTCCTGTGTGTTGTCAGTGGTAGAAGATGAAAGCCAGGCTGCTGTGGGAGCAAAGCCACAGCGGTGAGGTGTGGGGTATTTTGGGAGGCTAACTGACTCAGATTCTTCTGGTGTTTCCTAAGCAATAAACAAAACCTTCCCCAAGCCTCGACCACGCTCTGCGCCTTCCCTGGAGCCAGTGCGGCTGCAGCCACTCTCTGTGACCGTGGGAGGCTGAGCCTCAGTGTCCCACCTGTGCAATGAGGGTGACCATGTGCTCTGCTCTGAGGTGTGGCTGTGAGGCTTCAGGGGATCACAGCAGGGCCTGGATCCAAGAGGAAGGACCCAGGGAGTGCTGGCCTATCGTGATTAAAATACAGACCAACTGCTCAATCTCTTTCAGCCCAGAAAGGCAAAGCACCTCGGCCAAAGTCATACAGCAGGGCGGGTGGGCCGGTGTGGAACGTGGAGTGTGGGCTTTGGCCCAGTCACACCTAGGGATGAGAAACCTATTAACCATCACAGGGCTCCCTTCCCACGGCCCCTGAACACAGGACTGACATGTGGCAGCCAGCGGGGCTCGGACCCAGGGTCCTGAACAACTCGCAAAGCCCCCGTCCAGGCTCTGAGAGGGACAGGGCACAGGGACTGCACTGGCCGAGGTGACTGGCACCACAGGAAGGAAGGACACGGACGGCAGGGTGGCCTCTGTGTCCCGGCCCTGGGGGTGCTAGGGGTGCTCGTGACCGCAGCATGGCTGTGCTCGGAAGACTTTGGCCGCTGTGCTCATGCTGCTGTGTCCTGTGTGGCTCCAGGCAGCTGCTCATCCTCTCCGGTCTCAGCCCCGGTGAGCAGGCATGCTCAGGTGAGGCCTGGGTAGAGGGTGTGGGACGAGGCCCCGTGACTATCACACGCTCCAGCTGCAGCTCCCTGGGGCTCTGTGCGACACCACGGGGGGCGTAGCCATTGGCTGCCCACACAGGGCCTCGGAGCGGTTCTGCTCTCACTCCCGGGACCCTGCACCAGGCACGGGAACCCCACGAATGCACACGACACCCTCAGCCGGCCCCAGAGGCTGTGCCTGCCCCGGACAGAGCTGACCACTCCTCGCGAGACTTTTCCACCCGAGCCTGGTGCTGAACTGCTGGGATCCCTGTCCGATCCCCGAAACCACTGCCTGGCGCCTTGGTAGGAAGACGTGGGGTGTGCGTCTCCCCATGCAGGGCCACCCTGGCCTCCTCGCACGGCTGGAAGCAGGGACCTGGCAATGCCGCTCCCTCTCCCTCTGCCCGCTGCCTCTCTCTGCCAGGAAGCCAGAACCAAAACAAACCACTCTGTTCCTCTGGAAAAACACAAATAAGTAAGGCGTCGGAGCTCTTCTTCTGTCACCACCGCCTCCAGCTGATTCACCAGCAGGGTGGGGGCTGGAGCTTGTGCCACTCCCAGAGCCCCTCTGGGGTCACCGCTGGCCTGAGCCCCTGGAACATTATGCTCTCTGGGATGTGGTGTCACCAGATGTGACCCTGTCCTGACTCCAGCCAGGTCCTGCCTCACAGCAGCACAGCACAGCTCCGGTGCCGTCGGCCTCACTCTGGTCCTCCCCCAGGGGGCTGGGATGGGTGGCCTCACCGGCCTATGCACTCCGTGCCCAGAAGGACCTGTGCGGCCGAGAGGCCTGGCTCCAAGGGCAGGACAGCCCTGCACCACCTGCCTGGACACCACGCTCGGCGGCAGCTCCCTGGGCTGGGCCCTCCCTTCCTCAAAGTCCAATTCCGGCCCCTGGGTGGCGGCTCCAGCTCAGGCCTCCATCGGGGCACCTGCTCAGGGTCCATGGACTCAAAGCCGGCCTGAATCCCTCCCCTGGTCTCCCACAACCCTGGGAGAGGCCTCCGCACCCCCACCCGGGAGGCCCCACCACCTCTGCCTCACTCAGCCGCAGGAGACTCTGTCCCCAGAGCTCCTCCCCGGACCCTGCATCTTGAGCACGTATTTGGTGGCCCCTCCCCCAGGGGCACAGCAGCACAAGTGGCAGGAAAGGCCCGGGACCGTCCGGAGCTGGCACCCCTCTGAGGCCTGCAGCACCCAAGCCACGCACTGATATGGGGGGGGTGGCTAAGGATGACAAGGGACGGAACCTTGCCAGGGCCTTGGGCCTCACCTGTGCCACTGCGCACCCCACACCCGGCAACGTCAGGAGATACTTGGTTGGTGGGGAGGAGGTGCTCTTGCGTTCATGGGTGGGGCTCCACCTCCCACAGTGCACAGGGGCCCCCAACAAAGTGTGAGCCGGCCCCATTCTGCGCAGGTGGCCCTGCCTGGGCCTCTCCCTGCCTAGATCTGCCTCTGTGGCGGATGCTCCAGAGTTATCGCAGTGACTTCCAGACCTCAAGGTCACCCCGGTGGCCCTGCTGGGCCTTCAGGACGCAGTGACTCCTCACTCCCTGCCTCAGCTTCCCCACCCGGGAAACGGACTCGGGTCAGGGTGGCCGCCCGCGGGGACACGAGGAAGATGGTCTGAGTGCCAAGCCCCACTATCAAGTGTCAAGGAACAAAACCTCAAGTTAAAGTATCGAGCACCGACCGCATTCCCGCTGTCCCCAGGGAAGGTGCTCACTTGCTCAGGTTCAACGGGGCCACAGTGTGGGCCGGATTCCAGGCCTGCCGTGAGGGACAGGGCTTGGTGAGCGACTTCACACACAGACTTATTCTGAGGCTCAGCAGATGGCAGGATATTCAGGGGAAACACCGCACGTCTGAGGAAGGCGGGCTGGGAGCTGGGCTTGGGCAGGAGGGGGCTCGGCCACAGCCAAGGAGTCTGCACCTCCTGCCCACCCAGGGAGCAAGAGCACCTGCTCCAGAGGGGGAAGCAGAGCCCGCCCGACGCCAGACAGCAGGATCCAGGCTCAGATCCACCACTCCCAACAGCACCACCGCCTCTTCAGTAGTCACTCAACAAACGCTGCCTTTGTATCCATTGCTCCTACCGGGTAAAAACACAGCAGTCGGCCTCCTGTTTCCTGGGAAGACCTGTGAGGCACCCATTAAAATAGGAGGAAGGGAAGATGCCTGACCAGGAAAGTTTGCAACACATCTGCACAGGAAAGGAAGCACACCTGGGAAAATGGAAAGCGGGAGATAAGATGATTATTGAATCCACTGGAAACAGTCGCCAAGAAATCTCAGAAAGGTGGCTAGGTACGAAAGGCATCGATAGAGATTGTTAGCTTTCACCATCCACACAACAGGCAGAAGAGAGGGCCCAAGAGAAGACCTCGCGTTACCAGCCACGCGGAAGGAAAGAACTAGGGATAAATGCAGAGAGAGATACGACTACAGGAAGAAAACACTAAACTGCTACAAAAGAACCCTGGGGCCAACGGAATGGCAGGTCGTTTTCTGGAATGGAAACACTTAACATCAGGAAAAGTCATTTCTTGGATTAACCCATGGATTCAACAGAATCTTGGTAAGAAATACGAACTGGGTTCGTTTGGTTTTGTGTTTATCTGGGATTGCACGGGGTGGAGTGGGCTGCATAAATTAATTCCACCGTCCGTGTGACAAAGAGCCAGGAGGATAAAACAAGACACTGAAACACGCAAGTCATAAAACGCTAAAACACAGTGGGTAGCTGCCACAGCAAGCCACGGCAGTTACCAGGGCAGGGCACCAGGAAGTGTAGCATCGCCACGACCCCGACCCTCAAAGTCAAAACCTTACAGTCCAGGCTGGGTTTGTGTTCGAGGCCCGCAGAGAAGTAGACGATGCACTGAATGACAAGATGAAACTAAAAAGCATGGGTTCCATGCTCAAAACTCACATCGTACAGTGTTAATTCGCTTTAAGCAAAAGGTTGGATATGTGAGGACAAAACAAGGTCGAAATAAATCTGGTGTAAGTGATAAACCAGCGGTTAAGAGATGAAAAATTAAAACAGAAAGGAATAGAAGAAGATGGGGGGTTGTTTTAGTGATCTCAGACAGGGAAAGCTTTTTTCACTATGATGCAAATCCCAGAAAGGGCAAAACCAAAAGTTTTGATGAGATGTGGTTACATATCAATTAAAACTAAGCACAAGGGAAAAATATCCTCTCAAGTCAAAGCCACATTGAGAAAATAGTTGTTACTCATTTCTTTCCTACGTAAAGAGTTTCTATAAATAAATAAGTAAAAGATGAAAAGTGCAATAGAAAAAACGGTAAAAGGTGTAAGCAGCTAGCTCATAGGAGACGTGCAGATGGCTCTCAGACATGTGAAAAGGCGGTCAGCTTCTCTGCCAAGATAAACACACACTGCTGTCCTCCGTGGCTCAGGGAGCATCCTGCCACCCGCACGTCCCTCTCCCCACCCTGTGGTCCCTCCATCAGGATACCGGTCTCAAGGTGCTAAGCACTAAGGAAACGGGCTGCCGGGATGAGTAACCTCTGACTCAGCGGCACCAGCCAGTACTCGGTGAGTGAGCACTAGGGAAAGAAAGGCAAAGCTTTCCGCATGCCTGACCCCTTTACCGTCCGCCGCAGGCCTGCCGGGCTGTGCTGTGCCCACTTTTCAGATGAGAAGGGCGGCGCTCAGGGGGCGGAGCAGGACGGAGACCCCGGCCCCTGGGGCGGACCCCACGCTCACTTGTGCACATAGCCCTCGGAGCTGGCCGTGAGGTTCGCCTGCATGACCGCCTGGAACTCCGTCTCGTTGCAGCAGTACTTGAAGACCGAGCTATTGTGGTGACAGCACAGGATGAAGGTTTTGTTGTCGGAGAGCCGGGGGCAGTGGAAGCCGAAGTGGTAGCGGCCTTTGTGGTCTGTGTAGGGTTCACACACCCGGAAGTGCGCCGACAGGCCTGTAGGGGGCGTTCACAGTTCAGTGGGGGCCCCTGTCCCATCCCAACACCACCCCCTGGCAGACAAGTCTGAGATCCCACCTGACAGACGGAGAAACTGAGGCCCAGAGGCCTAAGTGACTCGGCCGAGCTGATGCAGGGCCTGGCGTCAAAGTCCCCTGCTCCGCTGCCAGCTCTGGTGGCCTCTTCCTGGGCACTGGAGCCACTGCCAGTGGGCTGCAAAACCCAGGCTCCCCGTGTCCAAAGCAGCAGCTGCCCTGGGGCCCTGATCAGAGTTCCCAGGGCCCAGCCTGGTCCCCTCTCCCGGGGCACTAGCCCGAGCCCCTCCCTCTGGGATGGGATTTAGGAGCAGAGCTCCTGGGGAGAAACAGGAGCAGCGAAACTGAGCAGCCTACAGTGGAAAACCCTTGAGCCCTTGTCTGGGGCTTCATCAGCACCCTTAGAAAAGGATCGCTGGAATCTGCATCTCTTAAGAGGGCTCTGCTGGCTCTTTTTCTCCAACCACAGAGACCCTGACTTCACAGAAGCCACCGCGGGGAGCTCTGAGTCAGCCAGGGCTGCAGCCCACATGGTGCCCACCTGTGTCCAAAGCACGCAGCACTGCCCAGCTGTGTGGGTGGCACACCTGGCTGGTGGGGTGCACAGACTGGCTGGGGGGGCAGGAAATCCTGCAAGTGTCACCAAAAGATGGGACCCTCCTCTCCTGTATGGGGAGAGCACAGGAGTAGGGCAGCTCTCAAGGCCCCCTAGTCCTTGACCCTGCGATGCCAAGGTGTGAACCATGTGCCAGCAGGTGCACCAGCCCCCAAATCTCACTGATCCCCTCCATGGAGGAGAGAGGCAGGGCTCCCATTTCTGCCCTTCGTGGTCAGAAAGGCTGACTCTGGGGCGCTTTGCAAAACAGCACAGTGTAAACTTATCCCTCCTGCTTCTGTTCCGGCCTGAGCCCAGCAGAGCTCAGGGTGGCTCCTAGCCCTCCTTTATAGCCATCTGTACCCCTTCCCTTGCCGGGTGACCTGGGACAGGCTTCTCTCCATCTCTGAGTCCCAGTTTCCCAGTAGGCGAAGCGAGTGGTTTATCCCTCCCAGGAGCAAGGAGGACCCCAGAGGAGGGAAGAGCTGGCTCCGGTGGTCTGAGTCCTGGCCTTGGCTCGGCTCAGCTCTGCGTCCTGGGAGCCCTGCCCGGCACCTCCCAACCCAGCCCTTCAAGGGCCCCTCGGAGCTGCACCCAGCAGAGGTGCAGGGCTGGAAACCATCAGGCTTAGCTGGAGTTTGAGGCCACAGGCTAGAACTGAGAGGGGAGAGACAGAGAGACACAGAGACGTGGCGAGAGACAGGTAGAAGGTGGGGGGAGAGAGAGACAGAGAGAGAGGGAGAGAGCGCACTGGCCCTGTGGGCAGCCCCTGGGGTGAGCGGTGTGGACAAGGGGGTCTCTCTGGCTTGGAAGAGCATAGGGCTTGGTTGATCCCCGTCTTTGAGGCAAGAGTTAGAGCCACCTGCGACTGCGGCTGAGACTTTGAAGACAGCCTGGGGGCTGCCTAGTGCCAGAGGGCAGCCCCAGAGCAGGCAGGAGCCCCAGCCCCTACGAGCTGCAGTGACTCGGGCAAGTCAGTTCCCTCCCGGAGCCTCAGTGTCCCGGTCTGGACCACGGGTGACTTGTCATCACCGAGCTTCCGCCCACAGGCTGAAGGGCAAGGTGGGAGTGGGGCTCCTCCCGCAGCCCCCTGAACCCCACAACATCTGCGACTCTCCCCCTGGGATCCCCAAGGGGTGGGCACTGCTCACGAAGGGCCCTGCGCCCGCTGCCCGCCCAGCCTTACCTGCCGAGAAGAGCAGCACAAAGAGCAGGGCAAGCGCGTTCCGGGACTGCTGCCCACAACTGGTCATCGTCCGGCCTGCATCGACCCGATCTGCCCAGCGCTGCCTGTCAACGAGACCAGGGTGTGTGGGCGGCCGTGTCGCCCGGCGGGGGGACCGCGGGGGTGCGAGTGGGCTGGGCACGGAGGACGGAAGCCACCATCCGCTGTCCTCTCTGGAACGAGCGACCTTCCCCGACCGGTCACCGCCACCTCCTATTCTGTTCACGGCTAAATGACACCTAATCACAGGCAGAGATGGTGGTGGACGTGAGCGGCACCGAGGCTGGGGCGGGAGAAGGAGGCCAGGGACCAGCACGCCCGGGTCAGCTGGGGGTCACTCCCTGCTGGGTCACAACGGCGACCCCCAGTAGCCCTTGCACGGAGCGGGCTGCAGCCACACGGTAGAGACCGGGCGGTGAACTACAGAGGACAGAGCTAACAGAAGCACACTCAGTGAGGACACTGGTAATGTGTGTGCACTCTCATGGGGACACACGCACACACACACGCACACGCATGAGTGCTTAAAATACCGCGCGCCTTCTGAGGAAGAACAGGACACAAGACTCCTGCGGATAATCGCACCCCAAAGGGCAAGGAGCAGGGGCACCAGCAGATGTTTGTGCAGCCAGGTTCACAGCAGAAATATTCACAGGAGCCAAGGGGGACACAAGCCAAGCGTCCACGGACAGACGGGTGTTACATACAGTGTGACGTGCCCTGGGCGGAGCACTACTCAGTCTTCAAAAGGAAGGTGTCTCTGACACACACACAAAACCCGCCGGGCTGGGGGCCCCCCACCCAGCGAAACAAGCTGGCCACAAAGATGGATTATGCATGATTGGCTCATGAGAATCCCCAAGAAGCGGTCTCAGGTCCAGAGGTCGGAAGCAGGATGGGGGTGGCTGGGTGGGGGCCCCGGGCCCTCCTGGCCTGGCTGCTCTGCTCCGCCCTTCTTTGGACTCCCTGTCCCCTCCACCATGAGACCCTCTGCCCCTGCCGTAGCCTGAAGGGTGACACACGTGGCACAGAGGCGGCCCGGGCAGCATGGCTACTGGAGGGGACGGGGAAGGATGTGCGCAGGCCAGGCAAGGCTCCTCTGAGGGCTGGGGACTGTCGTAGACCCTGCTCCGGGACCCTGGAGCCAGCCCAGGGCCCCCATGTCCTCCTGAGCGCTCAGCCTAGCGGGGCAGGACAGAGAACAGGCTGCAGTCCTGAGGCAGCTCCACACTCTGTCAGACGTCAAAGCCAGGGCTGAGGGCAGAGGGAGGGCAGCCACCTGGACACTCAGTCGCAGGGACATCTGGGAAGTTATGGTGACAGGTGCCATCCTTGTTTGGTCTGCACGTTTGGTCCACTCTGCCAGAAGAAGGGGCATGGCTCTCAAATGCCTCCCAACACGGACTGCCGGGACCCAGGATGCTCAGAGAGGGCCCCTGCTCCCTCCTGCCCTGCTGCTCCCCAGGCTAGAAGCTGCTTAATTGCTCTGTGCTCTGGCTTCCTCCCAGCCCTCCTGGGAGGATGAATGGAGATTACAGCTTTGGAGCGCTTAGCAGAGGATTTCACTCCAGGGAAACTTCAGGATCCGCCTGGAAAACACCCTGTGGGGAGGTGTTTGGGGCCCCTTGGCCCCATCTGGGGAAGCCAAGGCCTCTCTGGGCCCTGCTGCCCTGCAGGGTGGCTCTGTTCCACTTTTGCAGCCACAGCCCCAGTCCGGGAGCTGGGGAGCTGGCAGAAAGGTCCCCCCTCGTGCTGCTGTCCCTCCCTACAACAGTACATGGGCTGATGTGGGGGCATCACTCACCCCAGGGTGCCCGCCCTCAGTCCTGGAAGCCTGACTCCTGCAGCACCGAGAAGCTGGAGCAGTTGCCACCTCCTCCCCAAAGCCTCCTCTGCCCAAGTTTTTACCCAGCTGCTGATCCTCCCAGAGCCCAAAGGCTGGGCCCGGACCAGTGCTCAGCAGCTCCGCCTCCCATGACCCCCCTGGCGTCCTCCATCAGGGCCGGAAGGTCCCGGGTAGAGGTCTGACCAGCTGGGTGCAGGGGTCTCAGGCCGGGGGGAATCCAGCCTCCTCTGTTTGGGGGGTCGAAACGTGCCCCAGGGAGACACTGTCGCCCGCGCTAGCTGAGGCGAGGTGACTACTCAGCCCCAGGATCCACAACTTCCTCAGCCACCCAGCACCCAACCAGTGTCGGTGCCTCCGTCCTGAGCCCCAGGAGACTCAGGTGCCGGGGGGCAAACGACAGACCATCCTGGGTTCCACGCCCTTGCAGACTGGGAAACCGCCCACCACGTAGGTGATGGTCCGAAAGCTGGCGAAGGCGCCGCCTGACCAGCAACTCACAGGGACTTCCGTGCGCCCTGCCCAGTCCGCAATCACGAGCCAGGCACGCGCGGCTGTGGCCCACCCCTCGGTCAGCCGGGGACTGCTGTTCCGAGGTTTGAGGGTTATTTTTAATCGCTGAATTTTGGCGAGGCAGAGAAGGGGAGGAGGAGGGCAAGCGAAGAGAAACAGAGCGGGGAAAGATGAATTAAACCCCGCCTCGAAAACAACAGAGCCACTCTGGATCCACCTGGCTCCGTGGGCCAGGGGAGGACGAAGGGACTGGACAGAGGGTGGCAGGGCAGAAAGGGCACCCCGGACGTCTGGCCGCTGCCCCAGCACCCGGAGACGGCAGCAGCTTGGTGGTTCCTCCTGGGCACAGCCAAGGGCCAGGTCGGGGTGGCCAGGCCAGGAGGACGGGCCCCAGAGAGGCCGCTGCCAGGTGCCAAGTCTGGCTCCGGCGTTCGTGAGGACCCCACTCACTGTCACTTGCTGCTGTCTCTGCCTCAGCCTCCCCGTCACCCCGGGGCCACTCTTCTGAGCCCCGCCTGCCGAGCCGTCCTCACCCTGAGGCCCCAGAGCCCACCTCTGTCCTTCTTCACGGCTATGGGGTCTGTGGCTCCCTGGGCATTTGTACCCAAGCCTATCTGGAGGCTTTCAAAGGCTGCCCCCCACCCAGGGCTGTGCCCGCCAGTGCCAGGGTTTGAGAATATGGGCACCGTAGAGAGATCCTGTCTCAAAATATAAAGGTTGCCAAAGGGCGGTGGAAGTCACTCCGTGCAAAGGCCCTGGGCTCAATCCCCAGTACTGTGAAAAGAACAAACAAAAACGACAAAAGAAGAAAACAATAGAGAGAGAACCCATAGCTCAGAGAGGCTAAGGAGTCTGCCCAGAGGTGGAGCATGGCAGAGCTGTGAGTTGAGGCTCCAAACAAAGGCTCCGCGCCGTCTCCCTGGCCTCAATGGGGGCCCCAGTGCCTCCCCGCTGGGCAATGGAGGCCGCTTACTTCCCGTCTTGTCCACCTGTGAAATGGGAGCCGCGCCCCCACGTGGAGGGATGCTCGGGACGGACAGAAGGCCATGGGGCACCAGGCACACAGGACAACTGCTCCACCAGTGACTGGCAACCTACGGGGCAGCCTGGGGCCCAGGGCTGAAGTACCTGGAGGGCCCCGTGTGCTCCTGGCAGGTGAAGTGTGCCGTGCTTTGAGCAGTCACTTGGCTGCTGTCTTCTTTGACAGCCAGAAAGTGGCTTCCTCACCTAGGGCAAGCGTGGATGTGGGGCGGAACTGTGCCTCCACGTCCTCACCATGAGTGCTGGCCGCCCACAGGGTAGGAACTCTAACCACTCACGCAGGGCGAGGTGGCACACACCTGCCATCACAGCATTCAGGAGGCTGAGGCAGGAGGGCTGCCGGGAGCTGGAGGCCAGTCTGAGCTACACAGTGAGGCCAAGGTCGGCCTGGACTACATAGCGAGGCTGTCACTAGTGGCGGTGGGGAGAAGGTGCTCTTCCAACTGTCCTGTGGGGTGTGGGGTATCACAGTGGGAGGTGCCCAGTGACTGCCACCTTGGACAGGCCTCTCTTGCCCACAGCTCTCCCATCCACCCCCTGTGTCACTGTCACGTGGGTTTCACAGGCACAAGACCGAGGCCCAAGAGGGAGGCCTCATGGCTGGCTGCGGCTCCCAGCACCTCCCTGGACTGAGCTGGCTGTCCACAGGCCTGTGTGCCCCTCCCGTGCGGGAGGCAGTTGTGGAGAACCCCCACCGTCCGCCTCTGTCTCCCCGGAGGTCCGGCTGCACCGGGAGATAAAGCAGCCGGAGATCCCAGGGAGTGAGTCACTGGTGTCAGCTGGAGGAGGAAAAGCAGGCACAGATGCCATTCCCGGGTGGTCCCACATTTCTGTCCTCAGCTGCCAGCAGTGCCAGGAGCCCTGGCGCCCAGAAGCCAAAGCTCTAAGCCTCAGTTTCCCATCGGTACCTGGGTTAATCCAACCAACTTCAACAGGCTTTGGACGTTGGTTTATTCATTCACTAAATCCCTCATTCACCTGTTCATTCATTCCTCTGCTGAGTGTATGCTGGGCTGGGGACTGCAGACAAGGGCTCTACCCCAGCAGGTGCAAAGGCCCTGAGGCTGGGTGGAGCAGGGGGAGCCGGAGGGGCATGGGGGAAGACAGCTGACATGCGTGGATGTGACACCTCTCCACTTACGGGCACCAGTGCCTGTGCACCCTGCAAGGCCCCTCCGAGACCCCTTCTGTGACGGGAAAAGGCTCCTACTCTGCATGAAGGGGTGTGCTCCAGGTGCAGCATGGACCCGGGGACCCCACACCTGCTTCTTATCTGCCCGGCTCTGTGACGCAAGGACGCTGGCCTCAGGCCTCTCTCCTGGCTCTGGTTCACCGTCCACCCTAAGCCCCGGAAAGGAGGGCAGCTGGGTCAGAACGCTGTGCGCGCGGGGAGGGCAGGCGGAATGGAAGCAGCACTGAGTCCAGCTCTGGCCGGGGCCTGGGCTACCACCCCCAGGCGGCAACGGCAGGACCGGTGGGCCCTGTGCACAGCCGGGCTCCGACTGCCACCCTCCCAGCAGCCGCCTTTCCGGGTGAGCCAACTGCGGACTGCGGCAGGGCCCTGGGTCCGACCCCTCCCTCGCCCTCGGTCTTGGGGTCACGTGGGGGTCGGTGGGCTCCGGGGAGGTTTGTGAGGGACGCAGTCGGCTCCCACACTCACCCTGAGCGAGGATACGGGGCCAAGGGGCGGCAGCGTCCTGGTGGGTGGGGGCCGTGCTGTCCTTGGCTGTCACCCCTTCCCCGCTCCACCAGGCCTGGCCGCACTGTCCCTCCCTGGCCCCCTCGGCCCGATCGCCTCGATCTGGGTTCCCTCCGTGCCCCCCGCTGGCACTCCCACTGTGCCCAGCACCGCAGCCTGGGTGGCATTTGGAGCTGTGCCCCAAAGGAGGCTGCTGCCCTCCCTGCTGCCTGCCCTGGAATCCTGCCCGCTTGAGCCGGGCCAGAGAGAAACCTCCTTTTATATCCTCTCCAGCACACACTGCACAGGCCTGGGGGGCCCCACCCAGCCAGATGACAGCAGCCCAGAGGGAGGGGAGCATGATGAGAAGCCAGGTGCAGTGGCAGCCTGGTGGAGTGGCAGAGGGAGGAGTTCACTGAGCCCTCACAGCTAGGAGGTGCCCTGATGAGGCCTAATTTCCAGGTGAGCAGAGCTGGGACCCAGACTGTGGTGGCTGGCAGTGGACCCTGAAGGGTGTGAGTGGGAGCTATCCCTGCAGGGGAGCAAGGGGCAGCGGGAAGTTGAGGTCACTTGGCAGGGTAAGCCTGTGACAGACCAGCTTCTCTGCAGTACCAGACTCAGCAGAGACCAGGGAGGCCTCGAGCCTGCAACCTGAGCACTCAAGTTCGAGTCCCAGCCCTTCTACTTCTCATTCATGTGAGTGAAAGTCACTTTGCCTTTTGAAGCCTGAGCTGCTTCATTGCTTTTTGTTTTTCGGTGCTGGGGATTGAATCCAGGGCCTTTGCAATGAGTTAAATCCCCAGCCCTTAAAAATTTTTTTTTTTTTAATTCTGAAATAGGGTCTTGCTAAATTGCTAACTTGCACGTTGGATTCCAACCTGTGACCCTCCTGCCTCAGCCTCCCAAAGTGCTGGGATTATAGGCGTGTGCCACTGCACCGGGCTGCTGTGTTGTCTTTGTTGCTGTTCAAAGCTGACCCCACAGCTGGATCAGGAGCACCTGACACACAGGTGAGCTTCCCTGCAGTGAGAACCCACCCGCCTCTTGACAGCCAGGCAGGGACATCTGGAGGGGCTAAAGAGGTGAGCTGACTGTGTGTGTGCACACAGTGGGCCCTCTCCCCAGGCTCTTCTGGGTTCAAGGACAATCAGCAACACTCACTTCTCTGCCGAGCAGAGGCCCAGCTCTTCTGAAAACCCTGGACCTAGAATGGTCACAGTGCACAGTCCGTGAGATGGGCAGCCAGACACAGGCGGTCAGAGCCACATGGCCACACGGCAGCACAGCAGGGGGCTCTGCAGCAACGCAAGACCAGGGCGTTCAGGTCCCCAAAGCGTAAATTCAGGCCTGCACACTTAACTGTAAACGTGTCCCTGTTAAGAAGGCACACGGCACACAGGAGTTGGGGTAGCGATGCCTGGCCCCCTTACCCAGGGGTGGCTTCGAGGCTGCCTGCTGTGTTACTGACACCAACAACTGAACAGAGAGAGATTAGCACAGACCGCAACGGGAGAGGACAGGGAGCCAGGGGAGGCCCTGGCCTTCAGTCTAGCGAGGAAAATACAGAATCGCTCTTGAGAAATAAAAGTAAAGGTGACTTCCAGTAATGGGGCAGGCCTGCATAGAATTCCCCAAGCTCTCCTGGGAAATGTGTTCCTGGGCCTGGTGCTGGGATTTTCCAATCCCACAAAGGACGTGTGGATTTCCAAGCTCCTTCTAATGAGCCCTGGACAGCCTGTCCCTTTGGGGGAACTCCCAGTCATAAACGCTGCCTTGGTTTCTCTGTCCAGGAGTTGGGGAACAAAGTCACTGACTGCTCCTAGCGTGCTGCTCTCATCTGACCTGGGGAATCCCACCTCACGCGACTCAGGCTCAGAGGCCTAAGGTTTCCGCTCATCTGGCCCCACCTGCTTGTCTGGTACACACCTGGCCCTGGCAGGCTTAGCTTCCGCCTATACAGAAGGCTGCTGGCCACCAGCCACGGTCCTAGGTCTGGGGGGGAAGATAGGAGACGCCGGCGGCCAAGTACCACCTTACTGATGCCTTCATTCAACCCAGCAGCCCTTACCTGGCCACAGAGACCTGGGTGGGACGGTTCTGCACCCTGGCCCTCACAGCCTAGGGCAGGGCAGGAGGAGGAGCTGACACCTAGACAGATGTTGACAGCTGGGCTCCTGCTCTACAGATGTTGAGGAGAAGAAGAAAGACATTAAACCTTCACGGGGCCCCCCACTAGTCATTCTGTTACCTGCCCATAGGACGGTGTTTCTAACAGTAGGCCCCGGGGTGCAATCCAGGTTCAGAAACCAAATGTGGTAACTGGGGTATGAGGGTCACCACTCTTGGGAGATTCCTGGGCCCAGGACAGCATCTGCAACGGTGAAGACCCAGAGCTGACGAGCTTGGACCTTTGGATAAGGGAGTGACCTGTCTGAGCCTGTTTCCCCACACGTCTATGGGGACGGTCCCCACACTGTAGCTTGGGACTGGAATGTCCTCAGTCCAATCTGTCCTCCCTCCACAATGATGACCTCAGCTATTCCGCCACAGGGACACAAAGCTGGGCAGTGCCCCAGAGCAGCCAGGAGCGGTGGAGGATCCCAGGGGTGGCTGACCAGAGCGTGGGGCTTGTGTCACTGCACCCCACCAGGGAACAACTGAGAAAGGGAGGACCCCAGTCCCCAGGCCTGCTGGTCCACAGCCGGAAGGAGGGTGTAAGGTGGCTCATCTTTCCTAGCTCCTCAGGGGACTCTGATGCCTGCTCAAGTTCAGGTACTGCTGGGTGGAACAGAGCTCAGCACATTTTTGTGCTAAGGGCCAAGGAGTAGATAACCATCGGCTCTGCTGGCCACTGGCAGCTGTGCCACTGCAGACAGGAAGTGGCCGTAGATGCTACTACATGAATGGGCAATGTTGTGTTCCAATAAATCTTTATTAGCACAAATACACGGCTCAGTTTGCAACATCCTGAGCCATGACCTTCCAACCCCAGGCCAGAAGCCCTGCACCTCCCAGGAGCTAAATGATCTGGGCCACCCTGCCTGGGAATCAGAGGCCGAGTGCCAACCTGCTCTGGGCACCTGCGAATTTGGCAGGGCGTGGGCAGGAGCTCCAACAGGGCAGCCTAGTGAGCTGGCGGGAGGGAAAGCCGGGGAGGGGCAGCGTGAGATCTAACAAACCAAGTCACCAGCGCGGCTAATTGGCCGCAGCTGCTGTTCCGACCAGAGACTTGTCAGCTGTGATTAGGGAAGTTGCCTTCAGGCCAATCAACTTCAAAATTATGCAAAGAGGGCCGCTGTGGAGGCCACGGGGTTTGTGCAGAGCGGCTCCCCCACCCCGACAGGCACGCTGCAGCCCACAGTCCCCGGCCTGGACACCCCATCCACTCATCCGCTCATGGCCCCCCTGGTCCCAGCTCCACTTTGGGGCTAATGAGCCTCCCGCCCACACTCTGGGCTTAACTGGCACGGAGGAGGCTGGTACCGTGGTGATCCAGCTGCTACCATTGCGCGCCTGGTGGGACCGGTCACTGTTCTCAAGCGTCCACCTCCCCCGGTGGCCAGGGACCTGCAGCCGCAAGGAGCTGGGCTTGCCTTTGCTCTGGGCAATTCACAGCCCAGAGGACTTCCTGGTGGCCATGAGGAAAGCAGGTGGCAGAGGTGGCTCCTGTCCACCCTCCTGAGCCCTTGGCTTCCCCCAGCTCCACCAACCCCAGGCCAGGACAGACCTCGGCCTTGCCAGGACCTTCACTGGGCTGCTCAGACACCGGCCTGTGGTCCCACCTCAGGGTGCCACCTCTCTGTGACTCTTCCCTAGGCAAGAGGGGGTCGCTCCTGAGCAGACGAACCCGGTGCCTGAGTCGAACCCTTCTCCCCACTGCTCCTCCAATTCCAGCTCCGCTCAGCTCAGCACGGCTGAGTAACGCATCTGCGTGACCACTGCCCACCCGGCCCAGCTCTCAGGGACCTCAGGGACAAAGCCTCCTCGCCTGTGTCCTCTGATGGCCACACACAAGGCCCCCAGCCACGGCAACGGCCTTTCTGCCACCTTTCAAAGCGCATACGTCCCTTCTAATGGGAGGAAATTGCTAAATTCTCCAGCACAAGTTGACATCCGAGTAAACAGTTTTCTGGAGGTCTAATTAGCGTGCTGCTTTGGGGGAATGCTGGCTCAAGCACTTCTGGGAACTGGAGAGGTAACATCCAAACACATTCAGGGAAGGGCTTTGTAGGCAGAACTGGGGCTGGGGCGGCGAGGGTAGAATTTGCGGGGGCACAGCAGAGAGCCGCTGGGGCCACGGCCTCCGAGGACAGAAGGTGCAGGCTGGCACAGGGACACAGCTGCCCCTGGACCCTGGACAGAGGACTCAGCCTCTCTGTGCCCCTGTCCCTAAGCGGGGTGCCCACCTTGGCCTCACTTGGTGGGGTGACCCCTTGTGAACCCCAGAGCTCGCCGGATGGCCGCAGTGCCCAGGCGGCAGGGTGACCTGCCCCTCCCCCCGGCACACACTCTCCCGGGGTCACACAGCTCAGGGCTCACAGCTGGGCCAGGGGCTGCTACTGCTCGGTCTCGGCCTGGGGCTCCCACCATCACTCTGAAGTACCTGGGGCTCCAAGGGCCCCTGATGGTGTGGTGTGAATTCTGCTTTGGCTGGGGGATGTGCAGGGGTCTGGAGCCCACAGAAATAGAACTCAACACGAATTAAGCTGTGCGTGATGATAACCGCACCACAGCAGAACCAGTGGGAAAGGCCATTTTCTGAGCATCTACTCTGAGCTCAGCCCCTACTACACTGCCTGCTTTACAAGCTGGTCTTCTTCAGTCTTCTTGTTTTTCTTTTGAGACAAGGTCTCACTATACATCCTGGACTGGCCTCTAACTCATGGTGATCCTCCTGCCTCAGCCTCCTGAGTGCTAGGATTATAGGTGTGAGCCACCTTGCCTGGCTGGGTTCTTTCAATTCTCAGAAGAGGCTGGGCTCCAACCCACAGCCTCAGAGAGGGTGCGTCACCTGGCCCAGCTCACACAGCAGCAGTGGTATGAAGGCTTGGGCCCAAGCCGTCTGGTTTCCAAGTCATGGTTCTTTCTTCTGGCTCTCTTGGGCTCTGAGGATGGAAGGACAGGAGGAGGAAACGAATGCTTCCTGCAACCAGGCCACCTCCCATCCCGGAGCTTCCCTTCCCGTCCCAGACGAGGGGACTCTGGGAACCAGCCACCCCCATTCCCAGGGGTGCAATTCCTGCAGACACCAGCTCCCCGCCGCCCTGGAGTCGGCCCTTTGGGGGCCATGCAGACCCTGAGACGGCCTGCCCCACCCCCACTCCAGTCTGGCCCCGCCCTGAGGAGTGGGAGGTGCCACGCCTGCTGGGAAAGCAGGGGCCACCAAGTGTGGGAAGCCTAAGGCATCTTGGCCCTGGGATGGGGAAGGGAAGTCCCGGTCTCGGGGTGACAGATCACCGTCCAGTCCCATGCCCCCAGGGACAGACTGTGTGATCAGGTCAGCTCCTCCAGGCCTGTTTCATTTCTAGCTTCCTCCATCCCTTCCATCCATCATTCGGGCAACAGAGTTTTACTGAGCACCTACTATGTGCAGGCCCCCTGGGTCCTGGCAATACGGGAGGGAGCCAGACACACTCGCTCCCCAGCGTGCTCCCCTGGGGCGGAGTGGCAGGAGGCCTCAACATGGGCTCCGCAGGCTGCAAGGGGGGGGGGTCCCAGCAGGAAGCAGGTGTGGAGGGGGCGGCCGAAGGCAGGATGGGAGCAGGTGGGCAGCCCGGCCCGGCCTTGGACCATCTGCAGATAAACTCCAGCTCAGCCGTCTTCCCGACGTGTGGAGACTGAAAATAGCTTTCACACTGTATTTGCTGATGTTTGTCACTCTACTGCTTCTAAATTGATCCAGAACAGATTGTCCGATTGTTTGGATTTCAGGAGAGAAGTCTGCTAATCTTTTGCTCATCCTGTCCAGAGGCCTGCAAGGCCCTCCTCTTTCCGGGGCCTCCCTCTGTGGCCAGGGTCCAGCTGGACAGAGGAGGCGAGGCCCTCCCGGGCTCTGTGCCTGCGGGCCTGCGGGCCTGCAGGTGATAGCGAGGAGCTGGCCCTAGGGAGGGACCTGCACTCCGCAGTGGCACTTCTGTCCCGGAACACAAGCAACCGTGACAGCCCGGAAGCCAGCCAGGTGTCGTCTCAGGGGCTGATGAGGGTGGGGCTGCCTGGAGGACCTGGTGTGCCCGGAGCCCTGCTGGTGGGTTGATTAGCGATGTCTGCCCTGCCCCGGGCACTGCAGTGATGGGTGGTGGCATTCAAGCTACACAATCGTCACCTGGATCTACAGGCAAAAGTCAAACTCTGTACCTTGCCCAAATGCTCAGGAATGTTCTACAGCCGTGGTTTCTGCTCAGCTTTCCACAGATGCTGCAGGGCAGCCATGTTGATGTACGGAAGTTTCCCAAATGCATTCTGAGGCTCCCCATCCACGGTCACCTCTGCCTCCCCCAGCCCTCCACCCCTTTCCTCACTAGCATGAGCCAGGAGCCACTTCCGGTGGGCAGGCCTTCTGGACTTTGACCGTCTCCCAGGCAGAACCACTCCCTGTCCCGGCTCCCCCAACACCTGAACAGCCATCAGGCCCTGGGACAAACAGGTGACTGCATGCATCTCCCCAGAGACTGTGAGCCAGGCCTGTTGGCATCTCAGAGCCAATGCACTCGGGCCACACTGGACAGGTGGCTCGCCCACACCTGCCTGACACCTGTCCCTGCAGAGGGAGCTACAGGTGGCAGAGGAAGCCAGGGAGACGAGGCCTTACGCAGTTGTCCACCAGCTCCTACTGCCCGAGTCTCATCACCCCAGGAGAAAGAGTTCACATGGCCGGAAGAAAGGAGCGCCTGCTGGGACAGAGGCAGACAGGGGAAGGAGAGGGAAGCCACAGGAGCTCGGGCCCCTGCTGACCACTGTGAACACCTGGCCTCCCTCAGGGCAGAGGGCGGAGCCAGCGGGTCTCGTCTCAGCTTTGCGCTTAGCGCCTGTGCCCTCTGCTCGCTGAGCGGCAGGGACAAAGCCAGGTGGCATCTGCAGTGTGGCCAGGAT